CTTTAGCCCAGGAGTTTAAGACAGCCTGGGCAATTTGGCAAGACCTCATCTCTACAATAAGTCAAAAAAATTAGCCAGTCGTGGTGGCAGGAGCTTGTAATCCCAGTTACATGGAAGGCTGAGGCAGAAGGGTCGCCTGGCCCATCAGGTTGAGGCTGCAGTAGCTGTGACTATGCCACTGCACTCCAACCTGGGCAACAGGGTGAGATACTGACTTAAAAAAAAAAAAAGAATAGAAGGGATACAAGGACCTCATTGCGAAAGTAGAAACTCAAGCATATATGTATTAAGAACTCAAGATTCAAGTCACTGCGCATTATTTTAACACAAATGACTGAGAGGTCCTTACGAGCAGGATGCCCTTCTATCTTAAGGTTGGAATCAGCTCTTAGTTCAGCTGGGGCCAAATTGCAGCGAGGACCTTGGGCCACAGGCTTCCCCAGCCTGTGCCAGGCGGTCTAAACTGAGGGTAAACTTAAGCTTGATTAGAAACTTCAAAATTCTAAATCCGTCCTTGGAATTCCTGTATGTTTTCTGCTTCCTTTTCTTAGTTCTTTAGAAAAGTTCCTTTTAAAAAATTCCAGCCTTATCTTAATTGACCCAAGTACAGAATATGTTTTTGTTTCTTGTTTTCCATGGCTCCATCTAGAGTAGGCAGTGAAGAAAAAAAAGCTGTAGGATTGAGTCAAGAGATTTGGACCGAAGATGTGGCTCTGACCTCAGCCAACCCCAGACACCTGGCCTGGCCTGGCACTGGAGTGGGAGACAGTCCTTCTAGCTCTCACTTTCTGATGAATGTGGAAGTTGTAGACGTGGGTGCTACTTTTTTCTCCTTGGGATGCGATTAGCAACAAGAGATTCGCTCTGGAAAGCAGGAGAAACTAAGCAGGGGACTGGGGACCCAGGACGTGCGGAGGTGGTTCTTAGGCTTAGCTGCTCATTAGAATCACCTGGGGAATTTTTACAATCTGACTCCCCAACCATATCTCTGACCAATTAAATCAGAATCTCTGGTGGTGGGACCCAGGTAGCAGTATCTATTCAAGCTCCCCAGGGTGATTTCGTGAGCTATTACTGCATAGAATTGGAGACAGCTGCTGACAGGGACCTCTCCAGCCAGACTACAACCTCACCTTCTAGTGATTTTACCCTTTTGAATTTTGTCACCTAATTTTAATAACATTTCCCTCATCTGTTTGTTTTTTCCTTGGTCTAGAAGTCTTATTAAGGGCCAGGTATGGTGGCTCACACCTGTAATCCTAGCACTTTGGGAAGCCAAGGCGGGAGGACTGCTTGAGCCTGGGAGTTTAGGACCAGCCTGGGCAACATAATGAGACCTCGTCTCTGCAATAAATAAAAAAATTAGCTGGGCATGATGGTACACACCTGTAGTCCCAGCTACTCGCAAGACTGAGATAGAGGGATCTCCTGAGGCCAAGAGGTCGAGACTGCAGTGAGTCGTGATTGTGTCACTGCACTCCAGCCTGAGCAATAGAGACCTCAGCTCAAAAAAAAGGGGAGAAATGTCTTATTGAGCCAGTGATACTTCTCTGTCGAGTGTTACCATGTCTGTTTTTAAGTTACGTAGAAAAGTCTTTCCATCCTTTGTTTCCACAGCACTACGATCTTCTGAGCTTCTTCCTGCTCACCTGACCCCCTCCTTCTCAGCCTTCCTTGCTGGCACCTCTTTTGACAGCCGCCCTTAACTGACGGAGACTTAGGTTCTGCCTTGGATCTCTTTTCAGTCTGCCTCCCTTTTCTCTTGTGATTGCTCTCACTCTCACAGTATTCTCAACAGTCCGTCTGTCATAACCCCTTGTCATGTGCCTTCAGATCCACATTGTCACCTGCCTGGAGAAGTTCTAAGGCCCCTTCCTCTCCCTCTCTCCTTCCTTCCATTCACCCATCCATCCATCCATCTATCCATCTAATCATTATTGAGCATAACTGTGTGTGCTACAATCATGACGACATGGTGGTCTGTGCCCTGGCAGTCTCCACCAAATTGGAAATACATACACATCAACATACGAATCCACACGGGGAGAAGTACAGGGTGAAAGTGGGTTGGCATTCCTGGGACACCTGAGCAGCTCTGGAGCATCACAGGAGAAGGTAGGCGGTAAAGGGTTCTCCAGAGAGGAGGAGCTGCTGAGTTAGATTTCAAAAGATTACGTTGGTAGGCACAAGACAGTGTGGTGCTCAGGCAACTTCCGAAGTTCCATTTGATTAGAGCAAAGAACTGGGCTATGGAGGCACAGGTGCAGGGTGGTGTTGAGAGAAAAAGCCGAGGGAGATAGTGATCTACTCTTACGAGCCTCCCTTGCCTCCTGAGCAGTTTGTACTTTGTAAGTAGACAGTTGAGAGCGTGTTAAGTGATGAGATGTCCACTTTTAGCAAGGTTCTCCTTGACTATGACCAGGGAGAGGGCATTTAGAAGAGCCACAACGTGATGCTTCTGTTGGTCTGTCTTGCCAGTTCTTGTTTCTCCAGGCTTGGTCATCTCTAATTCCACCTGGCAAGGCCCCTCGACCCCAGGCTGGTCAGCCCCCAGATACTGCTGGTCCTTTTCCACTGTGGCTGGCTGGCTGGTTAGCTAGTGGTTGGCTGGTTTGCATCAGCTTTCTTCCATCTATTTTCAGGCCTTAGTTCAGACCATACCTTTCTGACTTATTCCATCCTGTACACAGTGGTCATAATTGTTATTCCCTGCTTAAAAAAAAAAAAAAAACTAGCTGGACACAGTGGCTAATGCCTATAATCCCAGCACTTTGGGAGATGAAGGGGAGATGATTGCTTGAGCCCAGGGATTCGAGATCAGTCTGGGCAACTTGGTAGGACCTTGACTCTGCAATGAATCAAAAAAGTTAGCCGGGTATGGTGGCACATGCCTGTAGTCCCAACTACTTGGAAGGCTGAGGCAGAAGGATCACTTGAGCCCAGCAGGTTGAGGCTGCAGTGACTGTGAGCATGCCACTGCACTCTAGCCTGGATGACAGAGTGAGACTCTTGACTCAAAAAAAAAAACTTATAATGGTTCTACATTACATACACAGCAATCTAAACTTTTTGTCCTCACTTTTAAAACGTCTGCGCTTTGGTGCCTGGCTTGTCCACTCTTATAGCTGCTTCTGCTGCCTCTCTCCTCTCTGGCCTTCTGTCCTTTCAACTTATCTCTCAACTCCTCCTTATGGGAACAAGCCGTTTCTAGTTCCCACCACCATATCTTCACTCCTGCAGCTTCCTCCACTGGAAATGACCTTCTCTATCAAAGTCAGCTCATCTTCCATTTCTCTTCCAGTTGGCATCCATCCAAGTGTGGTGGCTAGGAGTATGGCTTCCAGAGCCCCACTTCCTGCTTTTGAATCCAGGCTTTGCCACTTACTGGTTTGGACAATTTCCTTAAACTCTTCGGTTTTCTCTTCTATAATGGGGAAATAATAGGATGTGTCTCACAGAGGTTGTGAAAACTGCTGCACACTCAGGATGGTGCTTAATGCATGGTAAGCTCTTGATCAATGCTAGCTGTTGAGTTGTTGGTGTATTCCCTATAACTGTAAACCCCCTTTTACTTTGATTTATACTGCAATTATTAGCTTGATACATATTATTTGTGAATGTGTCTTCCCCACTAGATTAAAGCTGCCTAGAAGTCAAGAACCCTGACTAATGTACATAAATGTCTTTCTTCTGTATATAGAGAACAAAGCTTTGAATACAGTAAGTCCCCTACATAAGAACCTTAAAGTTGCAAACTTTCAAAGAGGCAGATGCACATTTGCATGTCCAATCATGTAAATTAGTTCACGTGTCTGGTATACATTGCCATGTGCTGAACTGTAAAATTTAAAATGTTGGCCAGGCTCAGGCTCAGTCTGTAACCCCAGCACTTTGGGACACCAAGGTGAGTGAATTTCCTGAGCCCACAGGTTCGAGACCAGCCCAGGCAACTTGGCAAGGCCTTGTCTCTACAATAAATCAAAAATTAGCCGGGCATGGTATCATACGCCTATAGTTCCGGCTACTTGGAAGGCTGAGGCAGAAAGATTGCTGGAGCCCAGCAGGTCGACACTGAGGTGGCCATGAGTGTGCCACTACACTCCAGCCTAGGTGACAGAGTCAGACTCCAACTCAAAAGAAAAAAAAAAAATTTTTTTTATTTTTTGTTTTTTTATGTATTATTTTTGTGAAAAGTATTATAAACATATTACAGTACAGTACTATATAGCTAATTGTGTTAGTTGGGTACCTGGGCTAACTGTTGAACTTATAAACAAATTAAACTTACAAATGCACTCTCAGAACAGAACTTGTTCGTATGCAGGGGACTGACTGTGTACAGTCACTGACTTACAATGGTTTTACTTATAGTTTTCCAGCCCTTACAATGTGCAAAAGCAATACACATTCAGTAGAACCCATACTTCAAATACCCATACAGCCATTCTGACTTTCCCTTTCAGCGTGGTATTCAGTAAGTTACATGAGACATTTAACACTTGATTATAAAACAGTCTTTGTGCTAGATAATTTTGTCCAACTATAGGTTAATGCGAGTGTTCTGAGCATGTTTAAGGTAGGCAAGGCTAGGCCGTGATGTTCCATAGGTCAGGTGTATTCAGTACATTTTGACTTATGATCTGGGCTTCTTAGTACATTTTTAAAACTTTGAAGGTGAACACTACTCAGAGCAGACACCAGAACCGGGAAGTGAAACAGGTTACTCTGAGGCCACATCTTACAAATCACAAGTGGCACCCTGGAAGTACAATCCTCATCCTAAAAGTGGGTCCCATTCTCCCTGGCAGCTGGAGAGAAGTGGCAGGCACCTTCCTTTGGCTTTTGTAGCACAGCTGGGAAGTCACAGCCCTTTAGGGAACAAGCCTGGGGTGATCTGCCACCTTCAGCCAGACAAAGGTGAAGGGGTAACTGGGTTTACCAAGCTTTACAGTGTCCTTTCAGGAAGGTGTCCTTTCATGTGCCTGTCGCATGTTTTTCAGAAATCAGACGCCGTGGTTCCAAAGACCCCCTGGTGAAGGCTCTTCAGCTGCTGGATGGACCCTGCGAGCCAGGGGAGAGTGGCCTGAAGGCGGAGACAAGGCGTAGTTCCAAAGACCTCCTGGGGAAGCCGCCCCAGCTGTACGATACTCCCTATGAGCCCACCACAGAAGGGGGTCCCTGGGCAGAGGGCAAGGCACGGCCCCCAGACGGTCGGCTGCCTGAGAACGACGAGCGACCAGCTGCTGAGTACGAGCAGCCCTGGGAGTGGAAGAAGGAGCAGATAGTGCGGGCTCTGTCAGGTGAGGGGAGGCCCTGCCCAAGCACCTGTGACCCACAGCTTCTCAGCCAAGCCCGTTTGCTTTTTTCCAAGGAATGTGAGACAGGGAAATCAGGATCTAGCTGTGGTTGCAAGACCAGGACTGAGGCGGAGCCTTTAATACTGCATTTATTCCTCATGGTTGTGTGTACCTTTGTCTTCCTTTCTCTTCTCTGCTGTTTTGGAAATACCTTAAATGGCTGTTGAAAGGACATACTGATCACTGTACATATCCTCCCTTGCCACTGAAGCCATCAGATTGGGAGCAGCTTTTAATTGGTGCTACTCCACAGACCTGTTACAATCTCTATAAAATAACAGTGCTGGATAAAATGGATCACAGGTAGCAGTGGCTGGACCTGGATGAAGCTGAATTGTTTTGTTTTGTTTTCAAATTCCTCCTAAGGGAATTTTTCAAGTGTAGCTTCTTTTTTTTTTTTTTTTTTGAGACAATCTTGCTCTGTCACCCAGGCTGGAGTGCAATGGCATGGTTATGGCTCACTGCAGCAGCCTCAAACTCTGGACTCAATCATCTTGCTTCAGCCTCCCAAACTGCTAGGACTACAAGTGCATGCCATCATGCCCGTCTAATTTGTTATTTTTGCTTGGAGAGGTCTCGCTATGTTGCCCAGGGTGGTCTCAGACTCCTGAGCTTCAGTAATCCTCCCACCTCAGCCTCCCAGAGTGCTGAAATGACAAGCATGAGCCACCGTGCCCTGCCCCAAGTTATAGTTTTTCTGCTTAGCTGGCCATATAATTTCTTTTACCTTTGATTTAAAATTTTAGAATTATCTTTTCCCTCTAATAGTAAAGCCAGGTTTGCAATTAAAATTATAGCCAATGGAAGGGGTGAATAAAGAAGGTAATTTGATACCCAGCATTTGTGCTTTAGTGTGGCTTTAGTCTTGTTTTCAGCAAATCTCTGTTGTGTACTTGCTCATTTCTCAGCACTAAGTTAGGTACTGCTATCTTATCTCCTTACCTTTTGTCCACCTTGGTATCATAGCATCTTTAAGGCATTATTTGGTAGTTTGTTTCTGAGTTAATTTTTCTTTTTGTGTTATTATTTCATGGTAAAACTTGTTCACTTGTTTTTGTAGAATGATACACACTCTTGCAAGGAATCATCACCTATAACTATGTTTAATCTCTTATCCTAAAAATACTAAAATTAAGAGTTTTTTTAAAAATCCAAGCTGAGGCTGGGCACAGTAGCTCACGCCTATAATCCCAGCACTTTGCAAGGTAGAGGTAAGAGGATTGCCTGAGCCCAGGGGTTTGAGACCAGCCTGGGCAACTTGGCAGGACCTCATCCCTACAATTAAAAAAAATTAGCTGGGCATGATAGTGCATGCCTATAGTTCCAACTACTTGGAAGGCTGAGGCAGAAGGATCACCTGAGCCCAGCAGGTCAAGGCTGCAGCAGCCATGAGCGGGCCACTGCACTCCAACCTGGGTGACAGGTGAAATTCCAACTGAAAAAAAAAATTTTTAAAGCCCATACTTAAATATATATATTAAATATATATATAAGCCTTAAAAAGACCATGCTGAAATATGTACATATATATATACATATATATGTGTGTGTGTGTGTGTGTGTGTGTGTATATATATATATATATATATATGCCTTCCAAGTAGCCAGAACTATAGGCATGTGCTACGATACCTGGCTAAGTTTTGATTTATTATAGAGACGAGGTCTTGCCAAGTTGTCCGGGCTGGTCTCGAACCCATAGGCTCGGGCAGTCCACTCACCTCAGCCTCCCAAAGCGCTGGGATTATAGGCTGAGCCACCAAGCCCGGCCCTGAAATATATTAAAGTAGTTTCCTCTCATATTCTGAAACTGATTCTTATACTGATAACTGTTTTACAGAAAGCAGCTATATGTGGAGTGCTAGCAGTGTGATCAGATACCAAAGATGGCCAGAGCTCAGTTAGCTGGGGTATTCTGCAATATGTTTGTTTCTTTGTTTTGGGGTTTTTTGTTTGTTTTGTTTTGTTTTTGAGTCAGAGTCTCACTTTGTCGCCCAGTCTGGAGTGTAGTGACATGGTGACACTCACCACAGCCTTGACCTTCCGAGCTCAGGTGATCCTCCTGCCTCAGCCTCCCAAGTAGCTGGGACTACAGGCATGCGCCACTATGCCCAGCTAATATTTTTATTTATTTTTATGTATTTATATTTTTTTTTGTAGAGATGAGGTCTCATTGTGTTGTCCAGTTTGGTCTTAAACTCCTGGACTCAAGCAATCCTCTCATCCATTCTCCCATAGTATTGGGATTACAGATGTGAGCGACTGCGCCCAGCCTTCTGCAGTATGTTATAGCTCACATTAAAGAGAAAAAAATGCTTCCTTCCTGAGCCAAAGCAGGCAGGGAGTTTTTTTCTTTGACGTTTGCATCCATCACCTCATTGGTCTCTGGTGTTAAATGGAGTCTTCCTTCCAGTCCAGTTTGAGGGATCTGAGCGACCGTCTGTCAGGGAGGAGACAGTGAGGCAGCACCACCGGCAGAAGAGCTGGACCCAGAAGATCCTGAAGCCAGCCACCTCTGACCACAGCGAGGGGGAGAAAGTGGACCCAGGCCTGCCCCTGGAGAAGCAGCCGTGAGTCTCCTCCGCAGTGGCTGGGATCTCACGGGTAGCCTTGTCTGGGTGGCACACTGGCCCATTTTGTGTGATTATTTTGTCCATGAATTCTTTTCTGGGTGGGGCTTATTCATGAAAACCCGTCTTCAAAGCCCAGCACATTTCTGCAGAATGGAAAGCACAATGAATCTTAGCAGCCTTATTTGGCATCTCATTCTCCTGTCCAGAGTGAAAACTGCTCAGATGACACCCATCTTGTGAGCTCGTGCGTGTGTGATTGATGGGCTTTGTGCCCCAGGCTCACCCAGATCTGCATTCTGTCTGTTCTGCATGTGAAGCAGGGTCTGGTTCAGGCTGTTGTGCTTCTACCAAAAGTTCATTTTCAAGTGACACTCTCTGGAACAGTGCTCAGTCTGGGTTGTATTTTGACACTCATGCTGCCTTCCTTCCTCCCACCCCATTTTGCAGTTGGTATCATGGTGCCATCACCCGGGCCGAGGCCGAGAGTCGACTACAACTCTGCAAAGAGGCTGGTTACCTGGTTCGAAATAGCGAGTCAGGGAACAGCAAGTACTCCATTGCACTAAAGTGAGTGAGCCACGCCGGCTTTCCTTGTCTCTAAGGGGAGGGACGCCATCACAGTCTTTCCTATGGCAGATGACCAGTACTCTCCCTTCCTACTGGTAGATGACCAGACAAAGAGATTTAATGTGAAGATAGTTCACAGGGGCGTGTGTTGCCAGAAAATAAGAACCATGGGGTGTTCTGAGTAGAAGGCAAAATTGCCCAGGACTTTGGGAGGCCAAGGTGAGAGGCTTGCCTGAGACCAACCTAGGCAACTTGGTGAGACCTCATCTCTACAATAAATACAAATTTAAGCCAGGTGTGGTGGCTCAAGCCTGTAATTCCAGCACTTTGGGAGGCAGAGGTGGGAGGATCACCTGAGCTCAGGGGTTCAAGATCAGCCTGAGCAACTTGGCGAGACCTTGTCTCTACCATAAATCAAAAAATTAGCCAGGCGTGGTGGCACATGCCTGTGGTTTCAGCTACTTGGAAGACTGAGGCAGAAGGATCACCTGAGCCCAGCAGGTTGAGGCTGCAGTGGCTGTGAGCGTGCCATTGCACTTCAGCCTAGGCAGCAGAGTGAGACTCCAACTCAAAAAAGTAAAAATTTAAAAATTAGCCGGGCTTGGTGGGTGATGCATGCCTATAGTTCCAGCTCCTGGAAGGCTGAGGCCACGGTGGCTGTGAACATACCACTGCACTCCAACCTGGGTGACAGAGTGAGACTCCAACTCAAAAAAAAAAAAAAAAAAAGAATACAAAGCTGGTACTGGGTCAATGCCTCAGTAGCTGCTACAGTAACAAAGGGCTCATTTCATTATCACTGTGCATTGGTCAGTTTCTACCTTACATTACCTGATCTGGTGTAGGCCCTCAGTAGAGAAATAATTCCTAATAAAAAGAATCATTTCTAACAGGGAGTTCAGTCATTCTTCTTGTATTCCCTAGTATTGGGGACTTTGATAAATCATATCCCTTGATTGTCAAAATGCCAACTGCAATTTTTAAAATTTCTTATTTATTTAAACCACTACTTTGTTCTGTGCCCAACTGCACCAGTTTCTCCTGGTGAAGAAGGAAATGCTGACTTGCCTATGACTCCCCCTGTCTGATTGTGCACAGAAAATTCTCTTTTGCCTGGTGGGCCTCGTGGAGTACGTATCATGGAAATTCTCGCAGCTCTGTGAGCTCAGTGGCCCTACAGTGGAGGATCATTGTCAAGAGCCCTAACAGCATTTCCTTCCTGAGGAAGCTGAGCCCCTGCAGCTGAAACAATCAGACTGGAGGGGGACAGAGGGGGGAGGGGGGACTTTAGCAATATGGCTCAGAAAACGGGATAGGCCACCAGATATACAATACCAGGAATAGCTCGACTGTGTTCCTGAAATTGGTGCTTGTGGATTAAATCTCTGAGCCTTCAGTGCCAGCTGTCATTATATACAACCAGGAATGGTCTTTCCAGATGGGGAGGGGAGGAAATGGTCTTTATTATTATTATTATTCATTATTATGTGTTCCTTTTGGGAAAAAAAGGAAGAAGAAGCCTTACACATATCCTTTTAGCTGTGATGAGGAAGGGTGAGTTTACACTTCACCTTTGTAGCCCTGTGCTTGGATATAAGTAGTAGTTTTGCAATTTGAGGGCTAGAAGGGACTTGGTAATTTATTTTATTTTATTTTATTTTATTATTCATTTATTGAGTAGGAGCCTCATTCTGTTGCCCAGGCTAGAGAACAGTGGCATGCTCACGGCCACCGCAACCTCGACCTTCGTGGCTCGGGTGATCCTTTCACCTCAACCTTCCAACTTTGGGCACGAGCCACCACGTGCAGCCAGTTTTTTAATTTATTATAGAGATGAGGTCTCACCAAGTTGCCCGGGCTAGTCTCAAACCCCTGGGCTCAGGCAGTTCTCTCACCTCTGCCTCCCAAAGTGCTGGGATTACAGGTATGAGCCACCATGCCCAGCTATTTTATTTTATTTTATTGGGCTGGAGTCTCACTCTGTCACCCAGACTGGAGTGCAGTGGCACAGTCATGGCTACCACAAACTCGGCCTACTGAACTGAGGTGATTCTTCTGCTTCAGTCTTCCAAGTAACTGAGGCTACAGGCACACGCCACCATGCCTGGCTAATTTTTTGATTTACTGTAAAGACGAGGTCTCTCCATGTTGCCCAGGCTGGTCTCGAACCCCTGGACTCAGGCAATCCTCTCGCCTTGGCCTTCCAAAGTGTTGGTATTATAGGTGTGAGCCACCATGCCCAGCAGCATTTTTTAAATCTTTTTTTTATTTTTGGTCCAGTACCTGATGACTCATGTGTAATGATGATAATCAACTCAAGGATGACATGCATTTATGCTGCAAAATTTCTGAGAGTGCCACTAGTGTTGAATGCATTTCTGTTTCTCTAGAACAATTCCAGGAATGGATGTGAATCTGTCAGCCTACTGTGAATCTGGAAATGTTTTTGGTGGGGTGGGATCCTCCGCTCATTCACGTCTTCTCCTTGATTTTTGTTTCAGGACTAGTCAGGGATGTGTCCACATCATAGTGGCTCAGACCAAAGACAACAAATACACACTGAATCAGACGAGCGCTGTGTTTGACAGCATCCCCGAAGTGGTACACTATTATTCCAATGAAAAGTTGCCTTTCAAAGGGGCAGAACACATGACCTTACTCTACCCCGTGCACAACAAGCTTCACTAAGGTTCAGTCACCGAAGCCCTGGGCCTCTGGCACCTATGAGTACATCAGCACCCGACGGCATCTCAGAGGACAGGGCTGGACTGCCCCTTGATAGCCAGCAGAAAGTGGAGTCTTCACGGAGACGGCAGAGTCTTTGCTCTTGAAGGCATTTCATGATGCTTGGTTTCTGACATACCCCTCGTTCTTTGCTAAGTAGTTCTCCAACAAGAAATCATAATTGACCTGTTGCTTCCAACCTGGAGTAGGGTGTTCTTTTTAGGGTCTGACCCTCCAGAAAGGTAAGTCAAGAGCTCAGGAGTATTAAACTTCTCCAGAAATCTACCGGTCGTTACCTGGAATACCTGGTCTCTAACAAGCCAACAAAAAACCCACATGGCTTTTCCATGTGACTGTGGAGACGGGAAGAGTGTGTCGTGTCAGACTTCTTGTGGGGACATGGATGGACAGTGGAAAATGTGAATGATGGTCAAGAAAGCTGTCTTTCTCAAATGTCCTAATTAGCTGTGGAGTTCGTAAAAATGCACAACCTTAGATTGTAGCCTAAGGATTATTTTGTCATTCAGCCTTTCTAAGAAAGTTTGTTTTCTCAGTCTCTGGGCTTTTTCATCCTTTTTCAACAAATCAGCGATATAAGCATAAGAAAGAAGGAAGATGCCCCAGATTTAAGAATCACCAGTGTAGCTGGGCTCAGTGGCTCAGCCTGTAATCCCGTGCCTTTGGGAGGCTGAGGTGAGTGGATTGCCTGAGCCCGCGGGTTCGAGACCCGCCTGGGCAGGTGAGACCTCATATCTACAATAAATCAAAAAATTAGCCAGGCATGGTAGCATGCGCCTGTAATTCCGGCTTCTTAGAAGGCTGAGGCGGAAGGATTGCCGGAGCCCAGCAGGTCGAGGCTGCGGTGGCCAGGAGCAGCCACTGCACTCCAGTCTGGGCGACAGAGTGAGACTCCAACTCAAAAAAAAAAAAAAAAAAAGAATTACCAATGTAATTAAGTATTGGAATCATTATTAGAATTCTAAATTGTAGAGTAAAATATACAAAGATTTCATTTCTGATTTTTTTTTTTAATCATTTCTATTTCCCAGGCTGGAGTGCAGTGATGTGATCATAGCTCACTGTAACCTCCAACTGCTGGGCTCAGGTGATCCTTCTGCCTCAGCCTCCTGAGTAACTAGAACTACAGGCGTGCACCACCACACTCAGCTAATTGGGTGTGTGTGTGTGTGTGTGTGTGTGTGTGTGTGTGTGTGTGTTTGTGTGTGTGGAGAGTAGGTCTCACTATTTGCCCGGGCTAGTCTCAAACTCCTGGGCTCAAGCGATCCTCCTGCCTGGGCCTCCCAAAGTGCTGGGATTATAGGCATGAACTGCCACGCCCAGCCTCATTTCTGGTTTTTAAAATTCTGAAAATTTATAAAGCTCAGCAACTATTTTCATATTGGATAATTATATAGAACTTCTGATGCCTTTTGTTTTATCTCAGGGCATTTTCGTTGCTATGAAATCACTTTTCATTTTTGTCTCTAAAATTAGGTTTGCTTTGTATTTTTAGTAAATGACAAAAGAAATGCAACTCTGGGATCTGGCTGCGAGAGCTGAGTCTCTCAAGCCTGCAAAGATTCTCCCATTCTGTGCCGAACAGACCAGCTCGCACTGTGCTTGGAGGTTTTAAAGACTTGGAGGTTTTCTCTAACAGCTATTACTTAATACTCATAGTATGGTTATCTGTATGATTTATCATGGGCTTCTGTCACCTATTTACTTACTGTGAAAAGCCGTGGGAATGGCGCACTGTGGGAGAGTGCTGTGGGGAGTAGCTCTGTGATTGCAGCCGAACAGATGTGTCTGTGTTCCGGGTGTGTGATTTGGGCTCAAAGCAGCTCCAGATGCAAATGTGCTGACTGTCACCAATGAGAAGTTCGCTCTGGTGGCTTCTTTTAAATACACAAGAAAATATTGATTTGGCTAATTTTTAGGAACGCATATCTTTCTGGCTCTCAGTTATCGTTTGATATATGACTTAGAGGTTAGTAAATGTTTGCTTCTTTATTCAGTGCAGTCCCAGCCAGAGGGTTGTGTGACCTTCAATTTAAAAATTGTAGCGGAACTGTTTCTCGCTGGAGCTTCGTGGTTTTATTAAGGAAGACAGTTTTGTTTCTCAAGTACTGATAGAATGTGTTAAATATGTGTTGGTTCATGTGCTGTATCTGCAGTACAGAATGTTTTAAATTTCCAGCATCCATTCAACAAGTATTTATTTTCTTCATACAAATGGTTCATTGTGTTAAACTTATTTTTAAGTTTCATTTCGACATTCCAGAAATGAAACCTTAGTTTTTACTTAACCTTATTCTACCAAGGAAATACAGCAGTTATTCTAATTTTAATAAATGCTAAAAGCTTTATAAAATTTTTCTTTGTGCACTAAATGATTTTTGGCCCATATCCAGCAACTGTGATGAATGTATAATGAAATAACATTTTGAAAGCAGGCCAGATACATTAAGTATTTATTGAGCTTCTATCAAATGCCCAGTATTGTGCTTCCTGTGTAGTGTTTTTCTGTGACAGTCGTGCTGTTTTCTTTGTAGAATTAGGAGTGGTAGAGATGAGGAGTTTATATATAGCCCAGCTACTTTACAGTTGTGCAGGAGCTTATAGGAAGAAATACAGTAAATTAGTGGAAAACTGGGGGGGGTGGGGAGGCTAGCTACTATTTTCTTCTGAAGGTTGTGACACAAGCTGACAAAAGCCAGGGAATTCACAGCTGGGTGGTGGCACAAAGTACCATATGTTCTAAAAACAATTAGCCCAGCAGGGTGTCCCTAATGGCTTTCTTGTTAAGCCTCCTGGGCCAGCTGATCCGAAGCTCTGAGACATGTTCTCTGAGCTCTGAATGCTTGGACTTTTTGTCATTTTGTCTTGATACAAGTATCTTCCTGTAGTCTTCATTCCTTTGAGTTAATTCTGTCTCCCAAAATGTTTTCTGGCATTTTCTGGTCAGAACAATGTCCTTTGGTGAATTCGCCTTGAATGTAGCATCCATCAGAGCTGTGTCTGGGTTCCTCCTCCTTTGCCACACCACCTTTTAAAGAAAAGACTCTGCTTCAGGTTCCTGAGTGAGTTGAGTTGGATAGTTTCAGGCCTATAAGAACAGGGGATGGAAGGACATTGCTGTTTGCTTTGATGCTGTAGCAAACCAGATGGATTTCAGCTGCTGGGGTTGTGTAGGAACAAAACAGTGGAGAAATGTTGTTATGTATACACTCTGGGGCAGAAGCACTTGTTTTTTTTAGTTTTTTTTTTAGTTGGAATCTCCGTTGCCCTGGTTGGAGTACTTACGGCCACTGCAGCCTTGACCTGCTGGGCTCCGGCGATCCTTCCGCCTCAGCCTTCCAAGTAACTGGAACTACAGGCCTGTACCACCATGCCCACTTCATTTTTGTGTTTATTTTAGAGATGAGGTCTCCCCAGGTAGCCCAGGCTGGTCTCAAACCCATGGGCTCAGGCAGTCCTGTCACCTCAGCCTCCCAAAGTGCTGGGATTATAGGCACGAGCCCGGCCAGCACTTGTTTTTAAAAGGCTTTATTTGTTGCTGTTGTTGTCTCTGTACTTCACCGAATTGGTATTTACTCTTTGGCCTCTGCTACAGGGTGAGAAGGTGAACAAGTGAGATCAATAGGGATGGCCACATGTTGTTGAGGAAGGTGCAAGACACTCCTACTTTGTTATTTGGGTTATTGAACTGTGTTCTTAGTCTGTGATTGGCTATTGTTACTGGATGCTTTTCCATATTTAATACAGAGGAGCAACAGTGAAACACTCTTCAGTCGCTTCTCAAATGAGGGAGACCCTTTCTATTCTGTAAAATGCTCCCTTTAGTCAAAAGTGAATCCCTTGTTTCTCCCTCAGTCGAGGGGGAGACCCCAGTGGTGTCCAGATTTCAGTTTTCCTCTCCCATGCTTGTGATTTCTAGCAGGACTTTATCGATACCTTTCTCACAGACACCTCTTCGTTGTTTCTCTCATATTTTCCATGACCAGCATTAGTTTGACCATATGGTTTCTTTAGAATCACTTTTTATTATTCTCATTTCCAATTTGCGTACCCCACCAACTTGGGCATGGAGAATCTTGGCCTGCCGTGGGCTTTTCAACTCCCCTCCTTCATGGCCGACCGTGTATAAAGATGGTGTATTGCTGCCATCCAGTGGAAAGAGAGCATACTACAGTTAGGAAAGCAAGCTGTGCATTTTTAAGGGTAGGGTTTTCTAAAGGATTTCTGATGCAGTCCATAGAGGGGAAAATGATGACACAGCAGTTGCCATCTTGAAATATGTCCTTTCCTGCAGAAAGGGTGATTCGAAGCCTAGCACAGCTATGTTCACGAGGCCCCTGGACTACGGCAGGACCGTGTGATTTCAAATCTTAAATTGTATTTTTATGAATATGCAGGCAACAGATCATTGTGGCAGGCATCTCATTTGTCAAGTTCTTAACTATTCAGTCATTTTGTCAAGGGCTTTAACATCTTAGATGCCGACTAATACATGGTTCTAACTTTTTAAAATATTTGAAGATTGTATGTAATACAGGTGCCTGTTCATAATGCCTTAGTAATTTATATCATATCAGAAATATTTTATAAAATGTCTGGTTGTATTGCAGTAGCCAGTATAGACTGCACGCCCTCCCGAAGATGGTTAACTCTGAAATATCACTTCAAATAAACATTATTCCAAGAAAACCAGAGTGGTTTTGCTTAATTCCTCCCTTCATTAAAAAAAAAAAATCACCATTAAGGAAATGTATAAACCATGGTTGAACATAACAGCAGGCCTGGTCTTTTTTATTTCCTTAGTCAAAATTCTGTATCTTCTATTTTTACAATAGAGCCCTCCTATTGTATTTTCCTTCCCAAATAAAATAGCAACCCTGTGGCATTTTATTCCTGTTTCCTCGGCCAGTCTTCTCCTGAATAGACACTTAGTGCTTGCTCTTATCCCTCACTAGGTGTCAGATTTGGGCTCTT